AAAAGACAGATTTGACTATTTTTTAAAAGCTATAATGTAATTTACAACTTTCTAAAATATTTGTTTTTAAAAACCTCTTAGAAATCAATGAAGGCGTTAGATTCCCTTCTGAAAAAAACTGGCCAGACTAGAAAAATGTGTATTTCAATAAAAACATTTTTCTAATGATGGTCATTATTTTAATCAAAAATTCAATTTTATTTTTACCTCCAGACCTCATGCTAATAACTGCTGGAAAAGGAGTTGGACATTCTTACACAGTGGTGGGGGTGGGAATATATTTTGGAATCACCTTTTTTCTGGTACAGGGAATCATCTTTCTGAATGACAACTTGCAGCAATGCACAGGGGTCATCACCATACACAGTGAGTGTGCAAGGAAAACATTATTACAGCAAAAGGCACATTGCCTTTAGGCTTCCTTAAACTGCATGAACGGCAAACATGCACTATCATTTTTTTTAAATTACAGCTTCCTCAAAAGACTTCAAACACACTTTTCTCATTGTTCTTGCCCTGTTCTGAAGCAGTTCTGAACACTCTTTCATGAGTGTCTTTAATAGGTATGACAAAAATTATGGTGATTGCTACTGCTGTGTGCCACCAGCGGAAAGTCAAGCTTGTAAGAAACATTACAGTGCTCTTCATCCACCTTACTCGCTGGATCTGGCACTGTGGGACTCTGAGCATGAAAGGCCAACATTTTGAATCAATTCAAGACATGGAGGCAGCCATGACAGCGCCACTAAAGACGGACGACTCCAGAACTGCTTCAGAAAGCAGCAAGAACCACCAGGTAAGTGTGTTTAAAGTGAAGGGGAATATTTTGAGGGGGATGAATGGTAATGTATCTTTCACAGTGTCTTTTTTTTTTTAAATCATACCCTGTATAATAAAAACTAAAAATGTGCCTACCTCTTATCATCAGTCAGAACAGGCCGTGATATGCAGTAATAAGTTAACCTGGAAGTCCCAGTGGTATAACACAAAGGTTTATATTCTGTTCTCACTATAGGTCCACGCAAATTGGTGGTGGAAGAGAAATAAAAGGAAGGTGTGCTCCACAGAAGCCAGGCTGATGGCACCACCCAGGAGGTGACATTGATGAGGGCAGGGGACAGACACCCAGGCTTGACATCTGGACAGTTTAGTCTCTACCCACACTTCATTGGCTGGCATTAGTCATAAGACCCTGAATGGCTACAGGGACAACAGAGAGTAGGGCTTCCTGTGTGCCCAGGAAGGAACAAGCCATAGATCGGGAGAAACATGTTCGAGCCCACAAGTTCCCTCTTAGAAAATTATCCTAAGTAAATATTCGGAAAAGCTTATAAAGATGCCAGAAGAGTTTCATTATGCCCTTGATTATAACAATAAAAAAAAAATTCTGAAAACTGCCTAAGTATCCAAGATATGGGCTACACAGATATTTAAAAGAATATGATTACATATTGAAATATACTCACAATAGTGTGAATAGTGGGGAAAGCAAGTTACAGAACAGTATGCATAATCTGATATTTTATGGAAAAAGTAACGAAGCACATGTAGATGCATGAGAGAAAGTCTGAACATATATTCAACATAACACTGAAATGTTAACAGTGGTTATAGTCAGAATAATAGGGTTTTTTTTCCTTTTCACTTATCTTTAGTTTTTTAAAAATGTATATGTTATTCATATACCAAAAAAAGCATTTAAAGGGAAAAAATTCTTGGGAGAGTCCACTTATCCACCCTGTCCTCATTAAACTCTTACATCTGGTGTAAGAAACGGCTTCTTGCCTATCATACCTAATCACGCACTGCTTAACAACCAATTCAAAGTCAGGACTTTCTTTTCATAGTACAAGAAGGTAAAGACAGGAACGCAGTACATTCTCCACGGCTGCACAGTGTCCCTCCTGCCAGGAACCTGCCAACACGGAAAGTTTGGAGTCCACTGTGGTTGGTCTGTGTGTGCCAGGTGTGCCAGGCCACCCCAGAGCCAGCTCTGCACTGTCGGAGATGGTAGGGCACTGTACAGCTCCACTCATGACGAAGACCCACACACTTCCTCATACATGGATTCCAGAACATAGAACATCAACCCCGAAATATTGAAATAAAGACTCCTCTCAGAATATATTTTTACATTTAAAACCCTTCCTTATTGCTTCTCCTGCTGCCCCGAGCTCCCTCCTCCTCCAGCACACGTGTGTGCACACACACATGGAGTCCTAGGTTCACCAGAACATTTCATCCAGCTGAGAATTTGTAGCATAGTCACCTTGCTAGGTCATGTTTAAAGGACTCTATTCTTGAGATAGGTGCATGAAAAAAGACATTTAAAAATGTAAATTTCTACAAAGGATTTCCTCTTCACGCTATCAGCCATCACCCCAGAACATGTTATCATTTCTTTGGCGAAGCCATATACTGAGAAGTCAGGGTCTGTTTAAAACATCATGTCATTCAATACTATATACACAGACATTCATTTTCAAGCTTCTAGTTTATATTCCAAGTGCTTCCAAATCCACTGATGTTTCTGGTAAGTGAAGTGTAACTTCTAGAAGGATGGATGGCGCATCAGCCTGCTTTTGGTTATTAGCAAAGCACAGCCTCTCTTGAGTGCTTATGCTAAGTCACACCACAGTCGTCCTGTTTCCCAAGATGAGGTGCTTGGCCCTCATCCACAGTCTTCCTTGTTTCTACAGAAGAGGAGATTTGTCTGTAGAAGACAAACCCCTTTAAAACGGGCAGGTAGGGATGCTTCGGGGAAGAATATAGTTTTACGCAACACCCTTTATCTAATGTATCGTGACAAATGCAGACCACGCCAGCCAGGCACCTGCCAACTCCCTCTGTGATGCTGAGCTTAAGGGGCCTCTGGGCTGGAGACCAGCTGCCCCTGTGGACAGTCCTTCCGGGCCTGTACAACCTGCTCTAAGACCTGCAAGCCTGCTCCCTCCCTAGCACCACCTCCACGGCGGCTGCTTCTGTCTCTGTAGTTGCAGGGCTCTTCACCTGTTCTAATCGGATTACTCTGCTTCTATTAAAGCTATCAACAAAGAACTCGGTGAGGTTGCGTGCCACCTAACTGGCCTCTAAGCCTGGACATCACTGTAACCAACACTTCTCGGAAAGATCCCTAAAAAACAAGAATCACCCAAAATGGAACTTATTGTTTATAATGAACATAAACAAAATTCTGATTTGCTCCTTTGTAAGTTGTCCTTTACTGTGGCTACACATTAAAATAACATAATTGCAACGTGCTCTTACTAGGTAGGACTCAAGAGAATTTTTTTTTTTTTTTTAATCACCCAGGGATTACTACAGAGAGAACAGGGATATGGCTCATAGACAAATACCGGGCCAAGGTCCAGAGACTCGGTGCAGAGTCCACACTGCCCATCACAGGAAGTACTATGGGTATGTCCCTATCTCTGCCTCTGCTTCCTATCTGTAGAATGCAGGTAGCAATTTCTACAAAGTCCTCTTCCCTGATGAAGGTCTAAAAGGACAGCGTGCAGGGCTAACGGAGCACTCCAGCCAGCCGGCCTGTGTGCACTCTGGGTCGCTTTCACCCAAGGCCTGACCACACTCTCCCAACCTGTCACCCTGGTGGCTTCACATCCCCAGGGCATTGGAAGACATCCCCTCTCCTTCCCATCCCAGAATGCGAAATGCATCCAGCTGGGTCTCTTCCTGGAGTGAAGTGATCTTTAAGGATCATCACGGTGAAGGGTTCTGAGTTTTGGCCTCTTGTAGGCTGCAGGTTTCACAGATGGATATCAAAAGCCAATCCAGGCACAGCGAGCCAGGTTTGGAGATGACAAAACCAAAGAGACCTCATCCAGAAACTGATAAAGTGCTCCTGTCCTGACCTTTCCAGGCAGCCCAATGTGATTGCAATGACCACGAGGGAAAAGGCGACATCCGGCCTGCACATGGCATAAGGCCACATGACAGTCCCAAGACTGCATCCCACAGGCCGTGTTATGGGAAACCCAGGACAGATGCAGTGGGGCACTGTCACTGGTACTGGGTCCCCTCTGCATGGTACCAGAGGCTGTCAGCCAGAACCAGGCCCCTTATTATCTGGGATGTTCCTGGGCCATTCTTAGTTTAAAAGAAGCCAAATGAAGAAACATTGTGGTCTTTAAAGGAACGCAGAGGACTAGAAAGTTCAGTGCTTCTGTCAAGTTTTGTGCTTTCATTGAAGAATCTAATCCTGCCTTTAAAGGGCCCCCATCTGGGCTGCAGTCCCAGCCACATGAGGGATCTAAGCTCTTCACCACCAGCACCAAGCTGCTCGGCATACTCTTCAACAGAGAGCAGGATTGTGGGCCTCAGGCCCGTAGCAGCACACAGTAGTAATGACTTCCAATACACGCTACACTTCTATGTACATGTTTTCTAGAGTCACCACTATGAGAATGTACAAATGGCTTTAGCAATTATCCACCTAGGACTGTCACCTGAGCATACTCTGGCTCGCCAAGAGGGTTTGCTCTAGCTTAACGTGTCCACTGTAGACAAGAGGTGGGGTCACCTGAAAGGCCCGAGTTGAGGGCATTTGGATCCCAATGTCTACTCTATCAGGGCAGTAACAGGCTCAGGCTGCGGACAAATAGCCCAAGCTGGCCTGAGAAGGGTCCCCTTTACTCTGCTGCTGGGCCATAGGACCGACTCATGGACAGTTCAGTTCTCAGGACTCCTGGAACAGCCAGTAGGGAGCTGCAACTTACTGTCCCAAGAGCCACCTGGAGCTAAGGGGAGGGCAGGGTGGGAAGCCGCTTGGTCTGAATCATAGAAGGGCTGATCATATGTCCCACTTCCTAAGAGACTCGTGTGCTAAGGCCCCATAGAGCCTGCAGGCTCTCTCCTAAAGTACCTGGTGCCCCGTATCACCAGCCTACCCTTTTTCCTATCCCAGGCAAGACTTCCCTGCTGAGAGAGGGCTCAGCTGGGGAAAGACAGCTGAGGACTCAGACCCTCACCTTGAGGTCTGCTTCCTGTCCACAGGGCCCACGCCCACCTCCTCAGGCTTTTTTTCTCACAGGAGGTGGTTCTCAGAGGGGTAAGAGGGCAGTAAAGCTTCCTCATGCTCAAAGCATTTAGAAATGTGCGGGCCCAGGGACTCACACCTCTAGTGGGGAAAGTGATGTCTCCCAGAGGATGCTGGCACCCAAAGGCCCACTGGCTCCATGAGCAGCTCTGCAGGAAAGAAGAGGTTTAGGGTTCCAGTCTCTTCCTTAGCAGGAACTGAAAAATGCCAGACAGAGCTCCTCTGTCAAGGCCAACGCTCCTGGGATGAGTAGACCTCCTTCCTCAACCTCATGGCCCTGGATAATTTCTTTCATAGCCACCCACACCCTTCACAAGATCACACGTAGTTCCCAAGCCCTGAGGTGCCACACAGTGTTCTGGAATTTTCAGGCTCCACGCTGCCAATGTCCAGAAATGAACATGGTCCCAGGGGCAAAGACCCTGGGGACAGAGGACACCCTGCCCCCCAGGTCAGAGCATCCTGACCTCACAACAACCTCTGATGTGTCAGCGACACGTGAGCCACTCTCAGGTTTGGCTAGCTGGATCTGTCATTCTGATAACTACTCAGAACAACAAAGTGCCTATCATTCAGCGGGGTTTGAACTCCACTGTGGGGTTTGATTAAAACACTAAGTTCTGTTTAGATGTTTAATTGAAGAAATATTTATTGAGCACCTACTTTGTGCCAGGCACTGAGCTAGGCACCCTCACTGCATGTTGCTCCCACAACATGAGCACCGGCTCAGGAATTCAAACCAAGGGAAGGAGCACTGTCGCAACCAAACGTGATGGGGGAGACTGGAGTGTGGCAGAGACAGGCAAAAAGGCACACCTGCCGGAAAACGTGCTGTTCTCCTCTGGACAATTCTCTCCTACAGGCTCACTTTAAAGCCTCCCAATGCTGACTGAGAGAGTTGTACCGGCCATACCCCCATAGACTGGAACCTGGCAGACAGTTACATACTGAGTGCCATTCAATCAGAGGAGCAAGACGGCCTGTCAAAGGATACCGACATTAGGGTTAGAAAAGACTTGTTCTTCAGTTGTAGGGTTGCAACAGCCCTTAAGAAAGATAGAAACATCCCTGCCCTGACTGCGTAAACGTTTAAGGTAGACCTAGTTCTGGATTCCTGAGTCAGAATCTTCCAGTTGTCCACAACCTCAAAGGCCAGAGAAGTGAGAGGAGATTTCTATTCCGAAGAGGAGCAAGTGGACGCACGCCTGGTCTGGACACACGACACACCGCGCCGGCATTTACAGAAGCAACGCAAAGGGGAGGAGCGTGTCCTAGTCCTACTGCGACTCACACAAGTGGGACTCACAGCAGCCTGGTCTCCGCCGCCCTAGTTGTCTGTGCCCAGCTTGGAGAGGCCTCGGCGGAAGTCATGGAGGTCGTCTATCTTTCCGTCCAGCACCTCCAGAAAGCTCTTCAACTCCACCTTCAGGTGGCGCTGTCGGTATTTACTCTCCTCAATGTCCGTCTTTAGTGACCTTACTTTGTCTTCTAGGTTCTGATTGTCTCTCTCTGCAGCCTAAGAAAACAAAAAGGGAGAAGGGTTGAGGACAGTAATGGGCGCCATTGGCAAAGCCTGCTCCAGTGACTCCTCCATCAGAACCTGTAGGCGGGGCCGGGGCTACAACCTAAGACAAGTTCAGCTCCTGAACACACACACACAGGCCTGGACCATGACCTTGCAAAGCAGGCAGCGGGCATTTCAGGGCTTCGCTTTGGCCTGCCTGTTCTCCTACTAGATGACCAACACCTGGCCTGAAACCCAAGTCCCAGCCCAGAATACAGAATGCAGAGTTCTGACAGGGACTTCACAGAGGCTCTGTCAGAGACAGTTGGACTGTCAGCCCCTGGGTGGTCAGCAGAGGCACCTTTGGTCCCACTCTGAGAGGAACAAGTTCCAAGAGGCCTCCCGCCTCAGGCCAGTGTTTCAGGAAGGCGAGCTGTGCTACCACACAGGAACAGCCTCTGGGCACTTCTTGTGCCACCGCGGTGAGGGCCTTCTCCACAGCTGGGCCCTACAGCTGAGCACTCATCTGGGCAAATCAGGCTGGACAGATGAGTGTCCTCAAAGGACATTTGAGCCTTGTACTCACTCTTCCTGTCAGATGAGAGCTTTACCGTGTGGGTACAGACTGGGGCTTTCTTGGACCTGTGCCCAGGAACCAGTCACCGATACAGAACTGGGCTGTGTAACTCAAAACTGTGCTCTCTGTGTAGTCACTGGGCCTGAAGTGCAGAGACCTGGAGGGGAAGGAGCACCTGAAAACCCTCATTTTCTGACCAGCCAGAAAGGCCTGCCCTTGTGATGCCCGAGGCCAGGGGCTGGGCGGTGGCTGCTGTGGACTCGCCCCCGACCCTGCGCTCTCAGGCCACCCCACCACCCTCTCCTCACTGTCTCGGTGTGCCCTGAATGATGACTATGTACATCCTTTGTGGGGGAAAACCAGAAGACCAAGGCTGCTGAGTGTGCTCCAGGGGCAAGGACGGCGAGCAATCACTGCCGGCTTCTTAGGAAGAGAAAATTACTCTTCTTTGCCATCCTGGGTATGAAAGAGAGGGAGTGAAAAACTCGGCTAACATGACCACCACCTTCTCATGTGAGCCCGCGTGGAAGTGCCCCCTCTCTTACCTCTAACTTCTCAGAGACATAGTCACACTCTGACATGAGCTGAGGTATGATTTCACTTTGTTTCCGCAGATCTTTCAACTCCTATAGGAGAAAAAAATTTTAAAAACCACTCAGAGAGATGTATGCTTGAAACCATTAACTTGTGCCTATGCTCATGGATAGCAATTTTGGAACCTGTCCTGTTTGCAAAAATAACGTCAATGATGCTACTCTGAAACATTAGGGTATTTCAGGAGTTAAGTGTGTTGCACGAGGAACAAGTGTCGTACACACCATAAAGAGGCATGCATTTTTATGATTTCTGTTCTGTAGATGAGGAAACTCAGACCTAGAGAGGTGTGGTACCTTCCCTTCCCACGGTCTCTAACATGTGTACTGAACTATCCTGCCTCCCACAGGGTCAATGACTGTATGACTGGTAGCTTGAGCTCCATTAATTGGTGATGACAGATGACCCATAAAAGTGTCAGGGATTTCTGCAAAATGTTCAACTCACTCTTGGGTCTGAGCAGCTGACTGCGTAGCCTAAACACAATGCAAAGCTGAAGAGTGGTGGTGAGGCCTTGCTCTGCTCTGGAATTTGCACCGTGGTGGACTCCTGCCTCCCTGTCCTGGTGGCCCAGCAGCTGCCAGGGCTGGTCATGTGCTCCAGGCCACCAGTCGTGCCCATGGTGGAAACCAGAGGTCACCCCCAAGGCTCAGAAGACGCCAAGGGCCCTCCCTGCTCAAGCACTATGACTCACTGTCTCCTTCTCCCGGAGTTCTGACTCTAGTTCTTCAATCCTCTTCTTGAGCTGTGAATTCTTCTCCTTTTCCCTGTTTATCTCATTGCACTGTTCTTCTAGCTCGTCAATCTTCAACAGAAAACACACAGTAAAGCAGGGATGTTAGCCGACTTTAGTCATTAAACAGGAGACTCCCACAGATATTTTATGCTTTCTTTAAAAATAAACCATAAGCCAACCCACTCACAATTTTTTTCTGTGGCAATGAATAAGCTCCAAGTTTTGGATACTCTAGACTTCTCATTTTCTTCTGCAGCCACATGAAGGATTTTCTTTAACAATCTTTAAAGAACATTATCCCAGATGTTCTCCAAACAGCTTTCACATGTTCTAAATTATTCTGTTTCATGTCAAGTGTTTAGGCCAGCAGGGTAGAGAACTCTGTGGGACAGTGGCTCCCAAACAGGAAACATTTGACATTTTAAACCCCATGCACCAAGATGGCCTTCCCACTCCATGCACAGAGAGAGGGCTGCCCAGTCTTCCTTGAAACTGAAGACAGATTCCAGGGCTCTAACTCTCCCTCCTGACCATTCCAAAGGTCTCCCATTATGGAATGAGTCTCCAGGGCCTGACACCCCACTGCCAGCTAACACTGAACATTTCTTGAGGACCCAAAGGCCTAAGCAGAGTGGACGGCAGGAGCAGAGCTAATGCCTAACATGAAAGCAACATGATGATGGGGTCCTCGCAAGTCAGCCTTTGACATGATGGGTGGTTAGCAGGAGGACACTTCTGAGGGGCCTGCCCTGCCTGCCACCTCCTTCCTGGAAATCAAGCTCCTGATGGGTATCCCCAGAGAGGGCCACAACCCTCCAAGGAAATATATGTCCCACCCCTCTCCCACTGCCTATGGTTTCCACACTCAGACCAGAGCGAGAAACTCAGCTCTTTGCTTGAGAAAAAAAAAAAAAAAAAAAAGAGGGCAACTGATCCTCATGGCAGGCAGATCTGCCAGGCCTTGGTCAGGAAGGTGCAGAGTCAGCAGCTGGCCTGGTGCCTCTGACTGTCTTCACTTTCAGTGCTGAGATGAAAAAATGACATAAGGCAGCTTTATGTGGCATAACCAACAGCTCATCTACTGCAGCTTGTCTAGGGTGGACATAGCAGGTCACACATGCGGGTTAGGGGACAGTATATACCAGCTTAAATGTAACCTTTCCTCCACAGGCCTGCACTGGCGCAGCAGGCTCCGGAGCTATGGTCTCACTACACAGGACCTCAATGGAAGTCTCAGCCACTCCAACACTCCCTTATCTACTGGGTAGAGTGAAGAGAGAGAGCGGTTCTTCCTGGCAAAGGCTACTGGTAGATTTTGAAAAACTCTAAATGCTAGGATTTCAAAGCCACAAGTAGAGGGCATCGACAGCAGTCAGTGCCCACCTTCCTTGTGCTTTATAAGCAGCATAAGCTTTTCTCACTTCTAAATGCGCATTTTTAAAATAATGGTCTGAAGGGAAATGGTGCTTCTGAGCAAATGCTTCTCTATGTCCTGGATATTTTTTCTCTCCTCCCTTGGATCTCCTTCCTCCACTAAAGATCACTTGCCACAGAAATGCCACAGCAAGGCACCCACATCAGAGGCCAGCTGGGATGAGCACCAGCGGGACCTCAGAGGGACAAGGTCACAGCTCTAGTTCATCAATCTTCTCCATTAGCAACAGGAATTATAAAACTTGCTTCCATAAAAATAGTAAATCAATAGTTTACATGGTTAAATTTCTACAAGGAAAGATGGAGAGATGGAGGGATGTTCCAAGGGGAGCGAGTCTTCCCCTGCCATGGGGGGCCAAGGGAGGAGAGAGGAGGCCCTGGCTGCCTCATCTCCTTCCGTCCTGCGGCGGGTCCCTGAGACCCACCTTGTGGCGGAGACGGTCATTCTCATCCCGGCAGATGGAGAACTGCTTCTTCCACTGTTCCACACTAGCTGCCGACTCCTGCAGCGCCGTGGTCAGGCGGGCATTGCTCTCTCGCAGGGTCTGCAACTCGATCTCCCATTTCTTCACGTTGGCAGCGCTGCAGGACAAGAGACAGGGTGGGGGAGATGGGGTGCCAGGGAGGGAGATGAGCATGCTGTCCATCACACTGCATTTCAGCCACCTGGGGAAGGGGGAGCCTGTCACCCCTCAGCCTGGCCGAGGAGGGCCCATGCTTTGCTCACCAGTGAGCTGGGTGGAGTGCCTGCTGCATGGACCAACACCTACAAGGGATGGGGTCTCTCTCTAGGGTGAACAAGTCACTTCACTGGGCTATTTTCTTTAAAAACGGCCTTAGAAGAGGACCAAGGTCTTAAAGAAGAGACAGAACTTCATTCCCTGCTGATCCCCTGCACAAAACCACCTTCCTCAAGTTTGCCTGAGGACGAAGGCTCTGAACCCTGGGGTGGACTTTGGGCCCTTTGAGGGGCTCCTTAAAGTCACACACACCTCTCTGGAGCCCAGGGACTTCAGGTTTAAACAACATGCAGACATCCCAGCTCCAGGTAAAAATGGTGTCACGCATCATTTGTGCCTCTGCAGGGACCTGAAAGGAACCCGGACCTGAGAGCTGAGAGCCTGGGGACAAAGGAGACAGGGTGGGACTCAGCCTCTATTGAGCAGAATGGGTGTCCACTCTCTGTGGGGGAAGGAGCACCAGCTGTTCCAACTTTCTCACCTCAAGGCTGTGAGGAGATGGAAGGTCTGTGGGACACCTCTACCCTTACCATAGAGGCCTTCTCTCTCACTTCTTATTCTGTGTGTTCAATTAGGATGAGGTTTAAGACAAACAGGAATTAGGTTCCCCTCAGTCACTAGTCACTGCTCCCTCAAACCTCCCTTGCCTTCCTCTTCTTGAACCCACACCACAACCCATGGTGCTGAATGTGACCTAAAGTACATGTGACAAGCCCCTAAGTTTGTATCTGGCTGAGGAGAATCCTCTTTCTAAAGGCCTCTTGAAATTTTTTTAAAGCTACTGAATGCAACTATGACTGAATAATTTGTGTTATCTTTCAGCCCACAACCTCAAGAAGCTAGAAATGTATTCGGAAAATATACTTTCAGTTTCAAATACCACAGACTGAAGAGAATAGTAACATTTTATTATCTGATGAATTCTAGAGTTGGTGACTGAGAATTTAAGCTGATATAGGGGAATGGCTTCACATCCATTCCTGTAATTCACTTGTTCATTAAACAGAGATTTGAAAACATTTATTTTTAGGGAGGCAAGGACAGGCCTGAGGTGACTCCAGCTGTGGAATGTGACCAGCTGCCTGTGGGACATTGTCAACCCTGAGCGAAAGGCAGACAGTGCAGGTGCTGGGAAGACTGACTTTCAGCTGTGTGACCTTAGTCTGAGAGGCACTTGACCACTTGGGGCTGTCTCCTCATCTGTGTAATGTGGGAAGTTAGGCCCCTAAGATGACACAGCTCTCAGACGGGCAAGCCTGGGAGGCTTGGGCACAGAGAGAGGGCTGAGGCGGCTGACACACACTGCCAGGTGAGCCAGATGATCTTGAAGGTGGCCGTGGGCTGGCCCTCCAGACACAGAAATACACGCACAGCTCGTGTCATTAACAATTTAAACCTTCTTGATTCCAGTTTGGGGACCATGTCAAATGTGTAGCTCCACTTAGCAGAAACTGATAGCTTACAAACTATCCAGGCTTCTTAGCACTTCCAGAAGGAATGTATTGCTCTGTGTTGAAATGGTGGACATGCTACCTATTCAGGCCTTTATGCACTCTACACATGCATTTAATGTCACAACATACTTCATAATATGTACAAATATGGTCAAGCAGAAGAATGTATTTTTAAAGGAGAAAACAACTATGTTAAATGGTTCATTTATGAACCTCAAAAGTCATTTTAAAGATTGCCTCAGGCAGATTTTTTTTTTGTTGTTGTTGTTGAGTCTATTCCTATGTATTTTATAGTCCCAATTTAGACAACAAAGGAAATCTCTTCTTCAGGTACATATATTGCGTGTGTAGCTACGTGAAGCTTTTCGTCTATTGATTTTCATGTGATTTCATACTATTTTCTTTGTTTCTTAGGTTTTTATATGCTTTTGTTGGATCTTTAAGACTCAATCTTATTATACAGGACTAAATGATAAATATGTCTCCACAAAAACCAAGCCAAATGCAGGGACGTCCCATATACTCTCACAGGCATGACCTCCCTCACACACAATTCACTGGCCCACACTCGCACTCTTCCTCACACACATGCACACATGGCCACACTCACATACACACTTTCTCACATTCGCACCCGTACTCGCTGATGTTGAAATGGTTGGCCTGACAGAAAAAGGCCACAAATGTGAACCTCTTGGCTTTCCTTCAAGCAGGAGACACAAGTGGAAGCTCTGATCAGGGCCCAGTCTTCTCTCCATTTCCTGAAACCCTGTCCCCCAGGAAGCACTGAACACGGACACAGCAGGACCTGGGTTTTAGCCGGGCTCACCTCTGCGTCAGTGCAATCTTCAGCTTGTCATTCTCGGACTTGAGGTGTGTGTCGGCTGGTCCCGCATGAGAGGCCTTTTCATCGTCCGTCCCGTTCACACTGGATGCCTGAGGAGAAGATGGGGTTTCACACCTAGATTTCTGGCCAAAGTGAACTGTCTCCACGCATTACTGCTTGTCCCCACATTGGCAGCAAATTAGGCACAGTGAGAAACTATACATTTGTCAGTGTGGACAAACCAACATACCCAACCAGAAGGTAGTGAATACTGTTAAGTAAAAAAGGCTAACGAAGACCATCAGTTACAGGGGAAATACCTGAAAGAGGCCACATGGTGACCAAAAAGTCTGCTCACTTTATTGATAGGAGAACACCTGGGGCCACTGGGCTTTAATTTAAATTTTCAGATAAGCCTACAAAGCTTGAATAGCTGGACTCCTTAAGCAGCACAGGACAGAAGGCACAGGTTAAAAGGGATGGTGGGTTTAAAATAACAAAGAACAAGTTATAGTGAATGAAGGCAGAGAAAAAAATATTAAAGTGGAGAAAACTTAAAAATGCTTGGCTATAGGGATTTAGATCATCATATTCATTTAAAAAACAGGAGCAAGATATGGGTGTTGCTGTCTCCCTTACTACTTAGCATTGTTATGAATATCCTAAAGTGTTTTCTGCAGTAAGTCAGCCTACAGGGCGGTGAAATCTCATCTGGTCTTGGATAAGAACTTAGATTTTATTTAGCCTCCAATAAGCATAAAGGCAAAGGAAAGCACTATGAAGGGAACAATGTATAAATAGGACTAATTTTAAATTCCTACATTGCAAAAAAAAAAAAAAAAAAAAAAAGCAAAAAAAACCTGGAGAAAATATTTGCAGCAGATGTTATATGCAAAATGTTAATGTCTTTTCTCTACTGAAGAACTCTTTTTTTTTTTTTTTGAGACAGGATCTTGCTGTGTAGATCTGGCGGGCCCTAAACTATGTGGCTCAGGCTGGCCTTGATCCAGGCGATCCTCCTGCCTCAGCCTCTCTAGTGCTGGGATTATAGACATGTTCCAACTCACCTATCAGCACTCTTAGGGAGTTCTTATCTTTTAGAGTTACGTACAGAGTGTTTATGGATGAAATAATATATCTTGGATTTGCTTTAAAATATGGAGAAGAGGGACCAGGGAGATAGCACAGTAGCTTAGGTATCTGCCTGGCAAGTACAAGGTCCTTAGGAGATCCCTGGTACCTTTGATCCCTGGTACAAAAAAAGAAAAAAAAGATAAGAGAGCAGAAATGGGGGGAGGGGTGCATAGATAAAACAACTGGTCAAAAAACTGTGAATTAATAAAGCTGACCTATGAGTACCTGGACATTCACTGTACAATTCTGCCTGGTTTTATACATGTTCAAAATGTCATGTTAAAAAAATATGTAAAGCCCTTAGGAATCAATACAAAAAAGACAGCTTAGTTGGGTTTTTTTTTTTAAGAAGAAAAAGGACTCTTAATATTTACAAAAGAAAAATACATATAAATAAAAGTATTTAATGTCATTAGGAAAGAACAAAAGATAAGAAAGTCAATGAGCTACACTTGCATGTATCAAATCAAATCAACAAAGCTGTCTTGGTGATGGTGTGGGAAGAAACGCCTTTACTCACTGCTGGTATGAGTGGGAATTCTGTGCTTCTGCAGGGAGTGTACATTGTGCATCAAAAGCTGTAAACATGTACCTGCCTGCAACTCACACCTCCTGTTCAAAACTCCATCTAAAGAAACCTGAATACACATTAAGATCGGCAAGAACACGCATCGCAGTGTTATTCATGATGACAAAAAGTCGAAGCGGCACACGTGTCCCACATTCTAAGAGGCTAGCAGAGTAAGTCACATCATGAACACAATGGAACGCTATTTAGTCATCAAAATAGTTTTGAATAAGAACAGCGTGGGTGACTTTTATTCTCTTCAAGTGTGATATGTGTTTTATTAATACAATAAACATGTACTGCTTTAATAATCATAAAACCCTAATTGTTTTTGTAGTTAGGCTGCTTAAATGTTCAACTACTGGGAAAGCTGGGTCCAAATATTAATTCTCTAAGAGAGTCTGGAAAATAAGTAACTTATTTCTAATAAAAAGAAAAAAATTGTACCGTGGGGAAATTATCATGATAGGTAAACAAAGGCTAAAGTTTTGGGAGAAAAATGTTTCTATGTAGTTAATACACACACAATGATATTTTATTGAGTATACTTGTTTTTGAAGGTTTAAAATACGTTTGGGGAGACAGATATTAAAACCATCTACAGAGAAATTCTGACTTTAAGTTTAAATAAGAGTACTATATGACATTCACAAAAAGACAATACATACAGTTTTATTTGTTTTGCGACAGGGTTCTCACTACGGGCCCACGCTGGCCCCAGCCTCCTGAGTAGTTGGGATGGGAGGTATGTGAGCTGCTGACGTCAGCAACACCAAGCCAGGGTCTTAGCATCTCTAGACCGTGGGCCATTTCTGTAAAACTGTGTCCAGTTTTACAGCTCCTCAGAGATGACTAAGTAATTGGTGTACTAAATTAACTCGAAGCATTTAGCTTAAATTAAAATTATTCGTGAAGATTCAGGACAGTTGCTGTCCACCTGCAGCCTCATATACTTTCATTTCCACAAATTCACCGGGGCATCTCTTGTATGAGAAGCCCTGGCAAAACTGCTGGGAGGTCCCATATTGAACTCGAGTTGGAAGAGGCGAGTCCGGTCTCAAAATGGAGGGCCATGATCCAAAG